TATATATATATATATATATATATTCACACACGTCTGAATCCAGACTGTGTCAAACAAATCATGGTACAATAGTCTCTATAAAAAAGAAAGAAAAGTTCCATGATTGGCTTGTGGACGGCATACTATCAGGTTGCCCAGGCCACGGCAGGTAACAACAACAACAGCAGCAGCAAAACCAACCGGGGATAACCGCAGTTCTTCTTGTCGTTTCTTATCAGGTCAGAATGCTTGAAAAAGTGTGTTTGCAAAGTTAGATTGTGTTGTTTGTTGACCATAAATGTTGATTTTCTTTGCCTCTAATTCGGCCCAATCCCTCTCCATCTTGTGCTTTATCACTTGATTTGTGTACATTCTGAGCTTGGCAGGGATCGGTGAATTTCGCTTCACTGTATATCGCTGTACGATGATGATGATGATACGCTTGCCTTTTCATGTCTGTTTATATTTCATTCGTTGCACACTTGGTTCGGTTGTTGTCTCACTCAGAAGTGGCCGATGAGCAGTTCTACATGGGACATCGGACGGACAGACCTGACGCGCTTAGGGACTAGATAGATAGATAGATCTATGGTCGCACATGTGTGTGCTCTGATCTCGGCTGGTCATAGCACTGCAACACAACCAGGTGTTGTTGTTGTCTGATCAGTGTGGTATCGTGGTGTGGAAAATTTGGTGTATTACATTATTAGATTACTGTGGAAATTTCTGGGAATTGCTTAAAAAAAGATATATTATGTTTCTATGATAAAAATTCAATTCCATAAATTCTGCTCCCACCTGGACTGTGTTTTTAACACATTGTAAACAGCTTGAAATTCTCTGTCGAACAGTGAGAAGAATATTTAAAACAATGTAATTATTGCACAAATAAGATGCGGTCGAATTTGTAACTGAATGAGGCAAGTAAACTAATAGTTCGATACGTTTTTGGCGTTTCGCGCCTCCGGTGTGTTACGTTCAAACACAGGTCAACCACTATTACAAACGGTGGGTGGTTCTGCCGTCTTCCGCCCCAGTACCACTACCTACCTGCTAAAGCTTTATTCAATTCGTCACCCCAACGCGTTCTGAGGATATATTTGCTGCCGATTTTTCAGAATTCCCCGTTCACCGACGCCCTAATTTTTACACTGGCCTGTCACAAATCGCGGATTGTCCCCCCCTCCATCATAGGAATGCCGTTCGTTGAATATCCCGTTTCATTTGATCAATGCTGCGGATTTTCTCGATTCCGAGGAGGAGGACCCTGGACTAGGTGTGCGAATACGTTGGAGTCCCGATTACGTTCCATCGCAGATGGCCGGCTCTTACCTGTACGATGCGGCAGTTGCACGTGCAATATGCTCTCTCGTCAACTCATTACCTACCGGTTGTTTGGTTGTGGATTTTTCCCCGTTACGTGCGCCTTCAGCGTGGGTAGAACGAGTGGCCGCGTCCGTTCCGGACCGTGTTCCAGTTTGCCAAGTTAGTTAGTTGTTTGTTATGGTGAATAATACTCTCAGATTGAATTTTGGTTTGTGCCGAACGGACTCTTCTGACGACGTGACTGGCTTTGTCTATACTACAATGTAGGGTGCTAGTAGCCTAATGAGATAGCCACCTTCCATCATCCACCAAGAGTTTGCTTGAAGTTCAAAATTTGTGTCAATCGGGCAATAGAAGGTAACTGCAAGTTCCACTCATCGATCCCACGAACTTTCGATGTATTCGGCTAGGACACGGTTTGGTCTATATTAAACAAATGAAGCCCCGTTAAGGCTGGTAAGCTTCGAGAAGCACATCGGCAATCCCTTATTGTCTACATTCACCTCCAAATCGAAATTGAAACTGCCCTCTTCCAAATAGACTAAATGATAAAACGGACAATTGGTGACTCACTCGTTGTCCTCAAAGGCATAGCTTCTAAATCTAGAGCGGAAGCAGAATACACGCTCAGATCTATGTATTGTGTCTTCTTGTGGCAGCACAGAGCACAGCACAAGGCTTTTCCAGAAACTANACACTTTATTTATGTTTCGCTCCCCCCTCCCCTTTCTCGGATAGACTACATACGCAGTGAAGGTGTTCAAAGTACAGGCAGCCAGTGATGTAAGTGTGCTCCAGATCCTCAGAGACTATACTTACACTCACAAGAGATGTCTAACCTGATATAGCATTGATGCACGGAATGAGTAACTCAAGTCAGAATCTGTAATCTGCCATCACACAGTGACTATCAAAAATCGGGAGATTTGAAAACCAGGCCTTGTTATCCATTCCCAGCGACTCCCTTCAGGGCTTTACGCGTACTAGCGCGTTTATGGATTCAATCGACTTTGTTTTATCGATCGTCTGTACTGATCAGGTAACTGAATGGTTTCTAACTCGATTGGTCGCCTGTTTTTTTCTTGCGTGTGACCAAAATGTGGAACGTGTTGAGTACAATTGATCCTCGGTCAAACCGACTAGTTTCGTTGCACTTCTTTCGAACCAGCGGTAACCAAATCATAGTTCCTGGTAAATTGGCTTCTATTATATCTCTAAATTTGTCGTGTGCAGTGTAAGCGGAGCCTTAATTGGACAGTTAAAAACACTGTAAAGCTATTTCGACTTGACTGGGTCTCATCAGCAGTTTGAATCCATCGATCCAACGGACGACCGTAAAGCCGGGAACTTTGTGCAAATTGCACTCAAAGATTGAAGCCGCTACACGAAAGCTGATTTGACCGGTTTTCATCTTATCCATACACAACATGACACATTTTCTCTTGGCGAGGTTGTTGAGTGTATCGCTCTTCACCGTTTGCATCATTATCCTTAAAGGTTAAGACTCGATAAATGGCTTTCCAAGCCTAGCAACTTGGTGTATTAGAGCAGTGGACGATTTGATTAGATTTTATAGTATATTTCGTTGTGTTCTGTAGGTAGAATTAAATGAAATCTGGTCAGTTCCCGTATGATCGTTCTACCTGTGCGATCCCGAGTTCGATCCCTGGTTGGTTCGATGAATTCGCACTGTGGATGTTAATTCCACCAGGTCAAAACATCTGTATAATGTTCTTCCTAGCTTCGTTTGACCTGCACCCGATGAAATTTACCATATAATCGAATCGATGCTTATTTGTCACAGTTTTCTAATTCGGTTCGAGTTTTACCTTTCAATAATACACTTCATCAGTTGCAATTCACCGTACCCTATTTCGTGTTCGATTTATATCGTACTCTTCCACATGACTAATCAATCTCTTTTTCTTATCCTCCCTGTCTTTCTGTCGCAAATCAGGTTGATGCTCACAATATTGTCCCCGTTTGGTGTGGCTCTGACAAACTTGAATCACATGCTCGAACCATTCGACCAAAACTGTTCAGTAAAACGTCGAAATATCTTACCGAATTTCCCCCGATCATCGCCCATCCTTTTCGTAGCGAGTTTGACATCACCCGGCACCCGGTAAGAACTGTGTAACTCTGTCGGATTTGTGCAACACCCATTGTGATGTGTTCACCACACTGAATTGATCAATTTTGAGCCGTGCTCATTTTTTTTCGGTTTTAGACTATCGATTGGCAAACTGTTTTGGATCGCTATTGCGGTGACAAATCTGTAAAGGCAGTGTCTTGGGCTATTCCGGGCACCAGGGCTGCCTTCGAAGTGCTCCGATCGTTTATCGATGAGCGTCTTAAAGGATTTGATTCTCAACGAAATAACCCGGCCAATCCTGCCCTTAGTGGACTGTCACCATGGTTTCACTTTGGTGGGTTTTTTTTGGGGGGGGGGCTTATCTTTTTGAACGTTTGCGCCTCGGTTTCCACCCTCTCCCCATTGTTAAACTGTAGAGAATGGATTTATTTATTCGTATACCGATGCTCCCGTGGACAATCGTACCACTTCTTGATTTTCATATCAGTGTGACATCATTGGAGGGTCATGTGAAACTTCTTATTCGCAGGGTCTGTCTCTGTGTTCCATTGAGTTTTGCAACTTCCTTGTGTTCTCAGCATTTAGGAAGTCTGATGTAACCAATATTTTGAGAATATCAAATGAGAATTCGACGTGCTTATAATAGATGAAGCGTGAATTAAAAATCTAGGAAGCACTGGATAACTGTTTCGACCTGGTCGGGTGTCAATTTAGTGCTTTCGTACTATGCAAGCGCAAACATTTCAATGGCTACAGAAATCCACACAGTCCTTTTATGTATTCCCTTCCTTATCTGCTTTTCGTATTTATTCAAATTTAGTCACTTTAATTTCATCATGTATGGTGTCCTGTTCAGTCGGTTAAATCTCAGTTGCCTCTATTCCCGAACAGGCCAAATTGCACCACAACGAGCCATTCTTGAAGTGTCTACCGTTCAGAAAAAGTATGGCCGTTCTGTGGACATATTCATCGAAGAGGCGTTCAATCGGCGTGAACTAGCTGAGAATTTCTGTTTCTACAATCCTCTTTACGATTCGCTTCAAGGTGAGAATAGTGGATTGTTTTTCGTTTTCATATTCCTGCTTTATGAACGAAGGGAGGGGGTGGGGAGCCGAATCAAAAGACTGCACTGGATCGCAGAGATTTGCTCAATCACGTGCCCTGAGCATTTCCTCAATGAGGCTTACGCCAAGGCTCATTTTTTCGTTTTACGGAAGAGGGGGTGGGGTTCGCGTGACAAAAATGAGTTTCCTCCATTGTTTTTGACAGGTATTCAACATGTACTTTTTAACCTTAGATGCACCAGATAGGACGTAGTGATAATAAGAATCAGCCAATGTTATGACGTTGTTGGTGATACATGAGTGATTAAAGCCTTTAATCAGCCTCATACTGTTCCAGGTACAGTACCGTTTGTAGTGACATTGTTTTTATAGTGTCTGATACTATAAAAGCGATATGTTTACTGATGAGTTGGAATATAAAATATAAGATCGACCTATCCGGAACCTGCATAGATTCACGTAGTATTTTGCTTCTGTTCATATCGGTTTATAATGGTTTCCAGCGCAAACTTCCGCTCAAGTTTTGCAAGTGTGTTTGTTTGCCTGGGACAGTCTCAGCACTATCGGGGTTGATGTATCTTGGGTTGTGGCTGGTCACTCCCCTCTTGCACCTCACGAATTGCTCTTATATGACCAATTGTTCCAAATGTCCTCTGTGGCGGTGTACCCCAGTTGTTACCTCACCAGATTATCACCCCGGGATGAGTTCGAATCCCGCCACCACTGCCTGCTTTCCCCCATTGTGTGTTGGATGGCAGCCCTTTGGTTGGTCGCTTGCCCCTTCCTGAAAATTGTACAGGTATTGACCAAACTCGTGCAACATCCTGATTTTCATCACATTTGTTCCTCTCAATGCTTCATTTTTCCAGCCTCATTCACGGGATTTAATATAATATTGCCCCACATCAGACGCAACATATCTGATATAATATCCACTTATATCACTGCTTCTATTAGCCACATGCCATTGAAATGTACAATTTCTCGATTTCAACGATTGTTGCTAATGCATCAGTTGTAAGGTAACAAGGTCACAGTACAAAACGTAGCGNCGATAATTTATTTATTCAAATAACTCATAGACTTTATACAGGTATTGCACTTTCATCCCATCCATTTTCCATTTGCTCCTCTTCATTTCTGTGCACTGGAGGCAGTCGCTTTAGGATGGAATCCACCAAGTTGACTGCCAAACAGAATTTGCAAGTTTCCTCTAATACACCACACACCCTTAACACCGGCAACCTTTGGCAAGGTAGCTGACTTGTTTGTGATAGAGGGATAAGTTTCCGAATAAAATAAAATCCTTAATAAAACGAATTTGGCATTGAACCTGAAATTGCATAAATGTAAAAAAAATATTTATTTTGGTCTAACCGTTTTTTATCACCAAGCTCTAGCGAGCTGGTATACCAACCTTCATATGTGAAAAATATGACTTCAGCGAATGCATTTTTGGAGTGACAGTTATTAAAACCCTCCCTTATGACTGCAGAAAGTTTTGCTTTGTCCGAATTAGCGTATGCAGGAGACCAACAACAATGCGCTCGATAATCATATCCCTTCCAACTCGTTAGGCGGTGCAGATATTTAATTCTTTTGACAGGTAAAAATAAATTCATTAGAAAACTGGCTCAGCAGATCAGCTTCAACAATATGCTGAATTGCTTGT